ATTTCAAAAAACCGGGTTTTATGTTTGTTTTACGTGTTATTACGGCTAAATGCGTGATGTTACGCTGTAAAGTATGAAGAGCAAATCTGTTCACAGTTGTCGATTTGTTCAGCACGCCAAAATTCATTGCATTATGACAACGTTAAATAAGCTTTTCAAAATTGAATTTGAAAGGGGGGAACTGGAAAAGAGCCAAATTTTTGTTCCGAGTTTCGAAAAAATAGTGACGGAATACTTGTGCTGTGGTATTGTTTTGTCTCCGCACAACTTTGGGCTTTTTAACTAAGATTGTTAAATGAATTTTTATGTATCAGACAAAAAAATTTGGCTCACTTCTACTCCCCCCATTTTTTCAAATTTTTAATTTCCCTAATTTTCTCACGTGTTATTATGGCTGAATGAGTGATGTTACAAGATAATGCATGGAGAACAAATCTGTTCACAACAAATGGTTCGTTCACCATGCAGAATTTTATTGCAATTTGACGTCAAAACTGAAGTTCAAATGTGGGGGCAAGTAAAAAAGAATCAAAATATTGTTGTCCTTGGTTCAAACTTGAAAAATTTTGTATTTCATGATCAATTATTTTTGTAAGCTTCTGGGGGTGTTTTTTTCCACTTATTCCCCATATTTCGAATTTTACTTTGTTCTACGTGTTATAATGGCTAAAAGCGTGATGGTACAAAATAAGATCAAGAGATCATGTAAAACAATAATTAGTTTGTTCAACATACAAAATTGTTTACATATGACAACGAAAATTGGTATTTGTTCCGATTTTCGATACGAAAGTAACGGAAAATTTGTGCTCGGGGTGGGTTTTTTTTTCTTCAGACAAATTTCGACTTTTTAACTAGCCATTTCGACAAAATTATTTATATCATTCAAAAGGTATTGTTGTTCTAAGCCCAAATTTGAAAAGATATTTTACCTGTGATTATTTTTCGTAAAGTTACGGGGGTTTAAAGATTGCAATTTTGGCCAATTTACGACAATTAACGCGCGATATTTCGCGCTATTAACGCGTAAGCGGAGAGTTAATCCGTCTTAGAAATCGTTCCAAATTGGTTAAAAGAAGCTTATTTGGCATAATTGGTTTGTTACAAGGAGCGAAATATATCCTTTTGTACTTTATATGGCGTGTGGGGGGATAATTTTCATAAAAAATTTCAAATTTTAGAAGAAAAAAAATTTCATTTTTTTTTATTTCATTGAATTTTTTAATGTTATTACTGCTCCATAAACCTGAAAAGGCAGACGGAACATTCAGGGCTTTGCCCTGTTACGAGCAGTCTCGTTTAAATTTAAAATTCAAACGTGGGGAGGTGGAAGGGAACGAAAAGAAAAGCCACGGGAGTTTAGACATTGCCATTTTGGCCAATTTATGATAACTAAAGCGGTCATTATTTGTGAAACTAACGCGTAGATGGAGATTTAAAACATCTTCGAAATCGTTCAGCTCTTTATCCTTCCCCGCAACTGCAAACTTTTAAGAACAACTAAGAATTTTGCAAACAATTAAGAATTTTGTTCAAAAACTTCGGTTGCTATGAAAGTTGGGCTCTTTTTCCTTCCCCCCCCCACTTCACACGACCATCAATATATTAGTGTAACGAGTGGTTTTACGAGAATGAATATCAAGACTTAATATGTTTGTCGTGGCCTTATTAGTCTGTATGTAAATTTTCATAGCAATCGGACAATGTAATCAACAAATTTACATGCAAGAATTTGCAGGTGGGGGGAAAGGAAAAAGAGCCGAAAGTTGACATACAGAACAACTAGACCATGACAAACATCTTTATTCTTCAAACTTAACGTTGTAAAACTCTGTGTTGCGCTGTAAAACTGATGTTTATGAGAAGTGGGGAGAAAAGGAAAAAAGGGCTCTTTTTTCCTTTCCCCCCACCTCATTCAAGCGACAATTTTATGGTCTAAGCAGTGGTTTTACAAAGTTGATTATGAGGACCAAATATGTTTGTCATAGCCTAGTTAGTCTGCATGTCAATTTTCATGTCAATCGGACAATGTGAACAGAATTTTGACTTATAAAAATATGCCGGTGGGGGGAAAAGTAAAAAGAGCCGTAAAAAGAGCTTATCGTTCTAAGTTCTTTGAAATTACTGTTCAATTTGTCCGATTGTCATGAAAATTGACATGCAGATTGATTAGGCTATAACAAACATATTTGGTCTTCATAATTAACCTTGTAAAACCACTCGTTAGACTATAAAATTCATGTTTGTGTGAGGTGGGGGGAAAGGAAAAAGAGCCGCTATGTGATTTATTGATTCTTTGGCTATATGCTAAATATATCGTTTTGTAGTTAACAACCCGGGATGACCAAAAATACTAGTCATACAATTTCCATGTATGGAAAAATGCTAGTCATACACTTTCCATGCAATTCCATACGTACAGAAAATTGCATGAAAGGTCTATGATTAGTATTATTTTCTATACTATAACTGAAATTGTATAACTAGCATTTTTCCATAAACCAAAAATATTGATTTTTTACATTTTAATTTCTCAAAATTTTTTGGCTGTGTTCGTAACCGAACACAAATGACATAAACATTGATTACTCAAAGGTAGTAACCAACGGTTTGGCCGTCTCGCATTAACAATGCATTGGAAACAGCCTGATATGTGTTACTTGACAATTAACATAACGAAAGTAGTGAACTTTTAAATTTTGGCAATAATTTTCAAAGATGATTATTTGTAAAATTTGAATGTTTAAATTACCAGATTTTTATCATGGCATACAAAAACATGTCATACAAAAGAAAGAGGAGTTTTAAGCGTTTTTGAAAAAAATTACGAAGAGAAAAGGAAAAAAAATCCAATATTAGTATATCCAGGACTACGTTATACACACAAAAAATTAAATTTTGCATGCAAAATTTAAAAAAAAAAAATGTTTGTTTGAATACGAAAGTCAATTTGCAGTTGAAAAAAAAAACACAAAAAATTTTTTGGGGGCAATTTCAAAAAAATTAGAAAAATTTTTGTCGTCGCCATCAAAAAATGCTAGTCATACAATTTCCATATATGAAAATTGTATGACTAGTGTTTTTTTTCAGAAAAAAAAAAGTCAAAGTTTTCAGTCGTAGCAGCCCAAAAAATGCTTAAATGTTTTGTTCAAAGCTTTTATTTTTCAAAAAAAAAATTAAAAAAAAAATTCTAATCATAATTTCCATATATGGAAATTGTATGGGTAGCATTTTTTTCATACCATTTTTTTTCCTTTTTTTATGAAGAGATACCAATTTCGATACCAAAACAACTATAAAACACCTTTGAAATTCGATTAAATTCATTTTGCAAAAATCTATGAAAATTCTATGACCAGCATTTTTCCATAGACTAAGTGTATGAAATTGTATGATTAGCATTTTCGGTCTATGGAGGTCAACCCGGGAAAGCATGTGGAGAATGTTTTTCACAAAAACAAACTAAATTTTTCTGGAAAACTTTATCAATTTTTTCTGAAGCTAACAAAACTCCATTTGCCCTAAGGGTAGTCAGAAAATTCAAGGCTTCATGCTGATACAATCAGTGTTGTAATATTTTTAAATTGTATTCTCATTCGTTTAATCATAGCTAAATTAGTGCTTTTGCTATGTAGAGTATGAAGAACAATTGTTAGTTTGTTCACCATGCCAAGTCTCGTTGCATTATGAAAACGTTAGAGTAGTTTTTCATGCTCTTTTGACTCCTCCACCTTACATATGCATCAACTTGCTGGCCTAATGGCGGGTTTTACTAGCGGTTGATTATGAAGACCAAATATGTTTGCTTTATGGTCTAAAAAGCTCGCATACCAAATTTTGTAACGATTTAAAGATGCGAACAAAAGATTAGTTGGCTCTTTTACACTCCCCCACACATTCGAATTTCAGTTAAAAAAACTAATTTACGTAATGTAATGAAACTTCTTAAGGTGAATAAACTAAATATTGTGAACAGGGATGTAAAAAAATATATTTAAAAATATTTAAATGTTTCCTGACGAGGAGAAAAAATTCTGAACAATCATTGGCCTATCAGAGATGAGTTTCTGAACAATCATTGGCCTATTCAAAACGATCGTGGCCAATCAGAATGCAAGCGACGCACGATTAATCCATTCGAGTTGAGCTAGCTTAACTCGAATGGATTAATCGTGCGTCGCTTGCATTCTGACAATTGAATTGTCAATTAGCCAAGCCAAGCCAAGCTTCAATTATTGGCCGAGTTATGTTGGAAACCTGCTTTGCAATTCAAACAATAATTGTTACGAAAAATAAATATATTTTATTTTTTGAACTGGAAAATAAATTATTTAAATGTATTTATTGTCAATATATTTAAATACAAATATTTTTTTACATCCCTGATTGTGAACATAATTGTGCTTCATACTTTACATAGTAAGATCACAATTTCACCCATGATACTGCATTAGACTACTAAAAAATGGAAAGCTTGAAATGTGGGTAAAATGAAAAAGAGCCGTGTTTCAAAAATCAAATTGAAAGGCATGAGGTAGAGAGTCGAAACAGCCAATTCTGTAAGCACCCACCCCCTTCCCCCCTTCATTGTTGAAGACCAAAAAGTATTTTGAGGGTCTATAATTTTATGTGAAGAGTAAAAAAAAAAAGTTTGTTATAGTATCAAATATAGCAGAGGGGGCACTCCCAGATGTGAAGTTGGCGGGGGAGAGAGAGAGCGAGGATGCCGCCGAAGAAGAAAAAAGAAGCAGCAGCAGCAGCAGCCGCAGGGGGCAAAAAGAAAAAGAAGGCGGGCGATGATGGTGACCCCCTCCCCCCACCAAAGATAAACATGAGTGCTGATGAAATTAGGCTCATCTCCCAGATTCAATGCCACCACACCACGCCTTATTGATCAAGGACTCCGTTTTTTGGGACTTTTAAATCATATGTGAATTTTTAGGGTTTCTTCAATTATTTTAATTATTTTTAAAAAATAACACTTATAACAAACAATTTTGCGTATGCTTTTTCTGTGGGCATTCGCTGTCCAAAAAAGGGGAAAATGCCGACTGAGATTTCCTTGCTTCACATCATCACTGATGATTATTACCACGTGATTAAAGATTACGAGAAGGACGGAGACGGGGCCAAGAAAGGTGGGAAAAAAGGAGGTAAAGCATCAGCCGCCAAAGCTGACAAGAAAGGAGGGGGCAAAAAGAGCATGAAGGATGGTGGGAAAGGAGGGAAGAAACCCAAATCTAAAAGCAAGGACAATGACTCAGACGACGGAGGTGGAGGGGGTGGGGGAGGTAAAAAGGACAGAGAGGGTTGGGCAACCGATCCCAAACCGAAACCCATTAAACCAACAATTGAGAACCCGAGTTTACCAGATGACAAGTATGGCATTGAGAGGATTCTTAAGTTGGTCACGTGTTATGAGGATCCGGACTACGGCGGCTGTACTATATCTGGACTGCTATCCAGTGACATGGTGCTTCTGATGATTAAGAAGACACACTTATTAGACAGTGTGTTGAATCATCCTTGTACTCTTGTGGCCAAACATGAGGGCAGGATAATAGGTAAGCAAGCGAATCTTTCACCCCCCCCCCTGGCCACAAGAAAACAATTTACAACACAAAACTAGAATCACTATTGCTTTAAAGAGTGGGATTGGCATAAAACTCCAATTTTCAAATCATTATTTTGATTTTCTTTCTCCGTCGCATAATTGATTTGATTAACAATGTTGTCACAAAAAAGGTAGGGATAGTTTTCTATTTTCAAAGTAATTCCAGTTTTTTAACCTTAGCTCAAACCTTGTTGAAAATCTGCAATTATTTTTGTAAAAGTTGTCAATCGACGTTTTAGACGTAAGATTTTCAGGAGTAAAGTAGTTGGGTAAGAAAGGAAAAACAATTTCCAGGTTTTTGTTAACGCATAATTTGACGTTAACACAGATTTGGTCTCCTCAGAAAAATTTTATTGTCTTGACATCGTTAAAAAATTCTTGAATATGAACATCATGAAAATGCTAAATTGATCAAAAAATTGTCAAAAATTTACGTTTTAAAAGTTACAATGCTTTTGTTTTTAAACCCTCTGAAAATTATCGCTGCAGTCAACTATGCGTTTTGTTCCAAAATTTCTTTTTGGTTTCAAAATTTTACTTTTGTAAAAATATATTGACCTTGAATGAGGGCAGGTTGCATGTTTAACAAACTAACTAATATGAACCGATTTTTCTTCATAGTTTACATCAAATCATTGCGCATTTAGTCAAAATAACATGAAAAAAGTATAAAATTGAACAAGGATAAACGGGTACTGTGCAAGTAGCACAGAATGTTCCGACCAATCTTAGAAAATTACAACTAAAATATTTTTCCAATTAGTGTCGTTTTTTCGGTTTGGTGTGATGAAAAATCTGAGCGAAAAAAAGGCAGTCATTGTAGAATACGCAAATTGGAAAACACTTTTTGAAGACAAATAACGAGAATAAACAAAAAATCAAAAAAAAAATTAAAAACTTTTAAAATAATTTTCAAAATTTGTTCCTCAAATTTTTGAAGTGTTTGATCCTAAGATTAAGCTAAAAACTCCAAAAACTAACTTTGTTTAAGTTAAACTACAATTTCAAGGCTTAAGTCAAGCATAGTTAAGCTAATGTAAGCCTGCTCATTTCCTCGAAATCTGACGAAAAAATCGAAAACTTCAAACCAGATTTTCTCCACAACAGAGATTTTCTCGACAACAGATTTGAAATTTATTATGTGGATCGAATCACGACTGAAAGGGCTTTAATATAACTCAACCCAGTCCGATCAATATTTGTGGTACCTGATTGTGCGTGGAAAACCAAAAGCAAACAAAAAAAATACACCCGAATACCAAGTTCTAAAACATTTTCAATGGTCGGAACAATAACTTGCTATATGAGGGTGGGCTGGAAAACATTCCAATTTTTTCAACAAGCTAAAGATAATATCTACATGGGGATTGCTGATCGGATTATCCCAAATTTTCAACAAGAAAATTTAAAACTGGATCACTAAACGGGTCATTTTAAATAATCTGTTTAGTAGTCCCGAAGTAGATTTTAAACTTTGATCGTCGAAAAATTTGGAGTGATTTCCACCCCCACCCTCACATTGTTCAATATAGTCGTTTCACGTACTACACTGGCTAAATACGCAATGATATAACGTAAAGTATGAAGAAAGATCTTTCACGTTAGTTATTGAACCTTTTTTTGTACCATCCCCCTAAGTTATCGGGGTTAAATTAGAGTGCATTCAAAATTAGTTATACTGCTACTAGAAGACGTAAAACAAAACTACTGAGATATTCTAAAGATATTCTAAAGTGAGATATTCTAAAGAGTAAGATATTCAAAAATATTCTATTGGTAAAACAGAATAAACATTTCTATAACAGCAGTAAGTAATCCATCTATAGTTACCTTAATTGTAAGGTAAATTTTCTTCAAATTTTTCCTGAAACTCAGAAAGAATCAAGTGAAAAAGTGAGTTATAGATGGATTATTATACTCATAGAGTAATTTCAGATAAGGTACACCGTCTACTCGTCACGCTATCTTATTTTCGGCCGGATAGATTCGTGCAACTTCTTAGTCTAATACCAATCTTAATCTTACTCTTAAATCTCCTAGTCTCAATAGATCTAGTGTAGACCGGTTTACGCGAGTTAGTTCCAGAATGAGAACAATTGTATTCTAAGTTAAATTCAAATTGTTCTGGTGTTAAAACTACAAGTAGTTTCAACACTTTACAAATAAATAAGTTGTTAGTTTGATGGAGTATGATTGGTTAGTATTTAATATTTTATAGAGAAAAAATATCATAATAATAACCAATGATAAATACTAGTTTATGTCTGGTTCCACCCATCCGGGGTTTAAAGAGTTTTAGTTTTTCGATGTTCTATTGTAGTGTAGGATGGGTGATAGTGTTTTTCTTTAGAGGATGCGAGCTTAGTCTTTTTTCGGGTTTCGAAGAAGAGATATTATTTAATCTGAAGATGGTTTTTGATCGGTTGTGATGATTGTTGATCTGGTTGATTTTAGAGAATAGGAACATTGCTATTCTACATTGCTATTCTCAATCTTGTTCGGATGTGGCATGTAGTTCGACTTTGGATGAAGTACCTGGTGACTTGGATCTGTACGTATACTTGAACATCGAGATGGCCATCGTTCTGTTGCAATGGGTTTCCTTTGCTGCGATGCCAAGTCGTACTTTAAATCCATTCAGTGTAGTGACTGTAGGCAGCATGTCAGTGGGTCTTGCCATTCCATAGTTGGGGTGTGATTGGGTTGTCAAGTTCCTTGCTGCTCGTCTTTGGGCTGTATATTATCTTTATACTACATTGTATTTTTTACATATATAAATCTTTGTTAATCTTGTTTTTTTAATCATGATCTTGTATTAATTTTTATCGCAAAAGCGTTACTATTTTGTTCGGTTATTTTTAAGAGCTACTCACGCTTGAAAAAATATCTTCAAAAACAGAGTCGTGGGTGTCACAAAGCGTGGATGTAGCACGGTGGGTGAGTCCGGCTATATAGCATGCTCAGGACGTCCTCTTCTCGTGGGTTAGGCTAGAAGTGAGGGTATAATTTCATGCTCTCTTTTTGGAGCGTCCTGTTCTAGTTCAACCTTTCATGCTATTTTTTATTACTGGTGTTTTCTTTTGTTGTCTTAGTTATGTATTCTTCTCAAAAATTAAATTTTTTTTTGGGTTTGTCTTTCGACTTTTTGGTGTTTTGTTCTTTTGTGTTCAGACTTACAAGTAGTCTTCGAAAGAAAAATTTATCCAGTTTTAAGCTGGTGTTAATCCAGTTTGGGTACAGTGGGTTTTGTTTTCTTAGTCATGCTGTTGAGTTGTGGTTTGTGGTGCTTAGTAAGCTTGCGTTGGTTAGTTTGGAATCTTATATAATTCCTTTCCAACCGGGTTAAAGGCAAATTTGAAACGTGTTAAAACTTGTTAGAGTTATTATCAGTGAAGGTTAAAACTTAAATTCATTATTTTAAACAACTCTTCGTGGGCGAGCTGTGCGATTGTGGATCGAATTTTTGGGCGAGTAAATATAAGGAAGCGTCTTCGAAAAGGTTAGTACTGCTATTTGCAATTTATGAACAATTTTTATTAATTTACTACTTTAAAAGTTTACTACTGCTTGATTTGGGGTTGAAATTATTAATTTATTTTCAATTGTTTGAAGATTTACTGCATTGGGGAAAAGAATTTATATATTAATTTTTTGCATTGTACGGGAGAAATTTACCGCTTTTTAATTGAAATTGGTTAATGAAAATTTATGAATCTAGAAAAAATTTCCTGTTTTTTATTTCGCATTTTGTTTTGTAGATGATTGAAGATCGTGCCTATGAAGAAAACAGTTATGAAGAATGGTTAGTTTTGTTCGAATTTATTAGTTATTTATTTAGTTCGTATTACTTACTCGTCGGTAAAAAATCCATGGGGAAAAACGTCGTGGATGATGTCTGATGAGGTTAGTAATTTAGCTAGCATACGAAGGATGTGTTTATTTTGCAGAAGTGGCCAAGGCAATTCGAGTGCTTTAATGATGTTGTGCTCTTCAGTGCTAGGTGATAGTTCATTCGGTGTGTTTTGAATAAGATTATAGAGTTTATGATTATAGCGAGTTTTATGTATGAATTCTAGGATTGGGACTTCAACGGCCTGGAGGAATTCATGAGGGACGATTAGTGGGCGGGATTCGTCTACGTTTAGGAGTTTGGTTAGGGGACAGAAGATATACATCTGGCTGATGGGATCGTAATTTCGCAGGGTGCCTTGTAATTTAGTATTTTTTATGCAGTATGTGAAAACTAAGAAAAAATGGTTAGGTGTGTTTAGAGTTAATGTATTGATATCAATGGTGAGGTTGTCGTGCTGGTGTATTGAGAGTGTAATGGTGTTGAATGAGTTGGTAGTAAGTGTACGTGTGTGTTTGTTTAGTTCGTAACATGACATCATCGAGTGAACAGTGCAAATCACGTTCTTTGGGTGTGAGGAAATGAAAGGTTAGTAAAAAGTCATTTGTTAAAGTATGAATCATAAGCATGAATATCACGGAGTGCTGCTGAAATGACGTTTTCGTATTTTTTATTTAAGGTGCTGAGGGTGAAAGTTTAAGGTGCTGAGGGTGTGGGGTTTTGATGAAAAATTTTTCTGTTAGTTGGGGATTAGCAAATGGGTCGTTGTTTAGAAAGATGTCTTCGTTAGGTCGTATGATGTTATGATCGTATTAATCGATAGAATAATCATTAGATTTGGGTGCAGTGAATTTGATAAGTGATTGTCTGGTTGTCTGTATCCTATCTGTGTGAATTGTTTTGGGGTTAGTATTGTTGTTAGAAGGTAGAATTGGGTGCTGCACTTTTCATTGTCATAATTGGTGTTATTTAGTGGCAGTGATAGTGGATTATTAAAGGGATAGAATGATGGCCATGAAAGTGTAGGGTATAATACGTGCTAGTTTACTTAATTGAGTCTCTCATCATTGGGGTCTGAATGGAAGTATGTGTTTTGTGGG